GCAGACAGAAGAAGGTAACTGAAGGAGGTCACACAGTTCATGCTCCAGCCTGTACTCTGCTTCCAGGACTGGCCAATATATGTGGTCTCTGCCATAAATCTCCCCACTATTAATGGGTCACTCAGCCTTGATTTTCCTACAGAGAATGACTATACTTGCACAAGCCATGAGTCAAAATATGCCTTTTTTAAATTTCAAGTTGTTTCTATCAGATATTTTGTAACTGTGGGCAGAAAATTAACTAAGAGAATTTAGATGTGTGAATTAATGTGCACCTATAATTGTATTAAATATATAATATGAAGAGGTAACAGGTCTTTACTGGTTATTTCCTTAAATATATATATATATATATATATATATATATATATATATATATATATATATATATGTGTGTGTGTGTGTGTGTGTACACATATACATATATATATATATATATATATATGTATTATCAGGTGAGGAGACATATCCTTTTCTTTTTTCTTTTTTTGTGTTTTTTTCCTTTTATTTTATTTTACAATACCATTCAGTTCTACATATCAGCCATGGATTCCCTTGTTCTCCCCGCTCCTGCTCCCCTCCGCTTACCCCCAGCCCACCCCCCCCTTTCCCACCTCCTCCAGGGCAAAGCCTCCCCCGAGGACTGAGATCGACCTGGTAGACTCAGTCCAGGTAGGTCCAGTCCCCTCCTCCCAGACTGAGCCAAGCATCCCTGCATAAGCCCCAGGTTTCAAACAGCCAACTCATGCAATGAGCACAGGAATGGCTGAGATCTACATGAAGAACCTGGACATGAGTGAGAGTAATGAAGGGCAAGGGTTGAGGGAAAGAGAGCGGGAGATCCCAGCTGGATCAAGAAAAGAGAGGGAGAACAAGGAATAGGAGACCATGGTAAATGACGACCACATGAGAAAAGGAAGAAACAAAGAGCTAGAGAGGCCCACAGAAATCCACAAAGATACCCCCACAAAAGACTGCTGGCAATGGTCAAGAGACAGCCGGGACTGATCTCTCTGGTTATGGGATGGCCAAAAACCCTAATTGTTGTGCTAGAAACCCCATCCAACGACTGAGAGATCTGGATGCAGAGATCCATGGCTAGGCCCCAGGTGGAGCGCTGGGAGTCTAATTATTGAGAAAGAGGAGGGTTTATATGAGCGAGAATTGTTGAAACCAAGGTTGGATAAAGAACAGGGACAAATAGCCTAATGAATGGAAACACATGAACTATGAACCAAAGGCTGAGGGGCCTCCAACTGGATCAGGTCCTCTGAATAGGTGAGACAGTTGATTGGCTTGATCAGTTTGGGAAGCATCTAGGCAGTGGTACTGGGTCCTGTGCTCACTGCATGAGTTGGCTGTTTTCTTTTTTCTTGAGGGATCATATGAGAACAAAAGAAATTATACAGATAGACAAGGAGAAATTATGAGATGCAGAGTAAGGAAGAAACAGAGTAAGACAGATGAAAAGTGCTCGAGGAGGAGAATGAGGGAAGGATGAGAGAACAAGAAATCAGAGGGAGGAAGGAAAATAGGATGACAGACAAAGAGAGACACAGAGAGAGAGAATAGAGAAGGGTAAAGAATAAAAGAAGAAAATATAGAGGGATAAGAAGTCTAGTTTTGATTACCTTAAGTTGAGTACATTTTAAAATTGCTGTCAATCGACTTTTCTTACTCACATGCTTTCAGATAATAAGATAGTTTGGGAATGTGGTGCGCAAGAAGATTAAACATGTGTTTGAAAAGGATTGCAGAGCACCTGCAGGAAATGGTAATGAATCAAACCGTAATGCCTCCTTCAGATTCCATATAATCCAAATGCAAATGGTGTGAAATGAAGATAGACATTAAACTATTTGGGGGAGTTTTTTTAGTTAGAATGGAAAATCAATGATTCGGAGTAACTCAATGTTTTATCTCTTGACTTTGAATAAAACTGATAATTGGCTTGAACATCTGAACTAGTGCCAGAGTTACATGTCCTCATATTCACATTCATTTTTATTACATGCATTCATTTTTATATTGTGTGTAACTTCCTGGTATTTGTGTTGTGGTGTGTGTGTGTGTGTTATAGTGTATAAATCTAAGCCAGAGAACAATTTATGGGTTTCTTCCTTCTACCATGTGGCTTCTAGGGATGTAAATGAGGTTGTCAGGCTCAGTGGCAAGGGCCTTTACCTGCTGAGATACATCATTGTCTACTGAAGTAAGCACTCCTGCATTATTGATAAAATATTCTTTTCCTACACCTGGATGTTTATCCCCAGTTCCAAATATTGCTAGTCACTTTTAATTAGTTTGGTTGAAAGTCTATATTGATTTTTTGGAAATTTTACTTCATTATCTCAAATTTTGAGGAATTTTGTTTTTTTGTGTCTCTAACCTAGAGTGACTGTCTAATTATCTTAAACCCATAAATTCAGTCAGATTCAATGGGAGACAGCAGAGCAAATATTTTCTTAGAACTTTGTTAGGGTTTCTATTGCTGTGAAAAGACACCATGACCACAGCAATTCTTATAAAGTAAAAATTTTAGTTGTGGTAGTATTTTTACACTTTCAGAGGTTCAGTCCACTATCACTGTGATGGGGAGCATGGTGGCATGTAGACATACAGACATGGTGCTGGAGTAGTAGCTGAGCTTTGCATCTTGCAGGCAACAGGAATTATACTGGGACACTCTTCATTATCCTGAGCACAGGAAACATCAAAGCCCGTCCCCGCAATGACATACTTCCTCCAACAAGGCAATACCCACTCCAACAAAACCACACCTCCATATAGTAACACTCCCTATGAGATTACGGGGGTCAATTACATCCAAACTATCACAGACCCCCAAGAGAAAAAAAGAAAAAAGAAAAAGGTAGGCTGTTTCTAGCTGAGTCCAAAATTCCTAGGCTCACTGCATGGTTTCTTCCCAACAATTAGACCCATATTAGCTTTGCTCTGATCATGTTTACTAGCCTATAAGGAGAGAGACTATTTAATACATGGTCATGCAAGGTATGTCTACTAATACACACCCATATAATGAATGTGTTCTGAGAATTAGAATTGTTGTTTTCAGTATTATCAGTAACAGATATTCACACATGTTAAGTATTTCTAAGTATAGCTCCTACTGCTAGCAGACATCTAAAGTGGAGGGAGTTTGCCTACTTAAAATGTTAAGAACTTCCAAAAGAAATAAATTAAAGACATATTAATGTCTAAGTAAAAAATAAATCCCCATGAAAGGACCATTGCAGGCAGAAAACATTTTAGTGAGAGAAAAAATTGAGTGGTCATCTGATGTCAAGTTGTTTTCTTCTCAATGAAAATATTAAGTGTTTCTGAGCAGTGGTAGCATACACCTTTAATTTCAGCACTTGGTAGGCAGACGCAGGCAGATCTCTGTGAGTCTGAAGCCAGCCTCATCTGCAAAGTGCGTTCTGGTACCACCAGGAATGTTACACTGAGAGAAGTTGTCTCGAGGAAAAAAAAAGAAAAAGAAAGAAAGAAGGAAAGAAAGAGAGAGAGAGAGAGAAAGAAAGACAATACCAAAGGTGAAAATGTGATGGAGTGAGCACATGCTGAATTATCTACCTTCTCTACATAACTTGTCTACATTATTAATCTTATATAGCTATATTTTATAATAGTCTATTGTCTCAACTGTCATCACTCTTGTATAGTATATTATTGATATTATTATTACTCAGAGTTCTCAACCAATGGTATAAAGATATTAGTTGATTTTTAGAATTGTAGATTTTCAGAATCTACTCATAGTACAACTTTAGAAAGATTGTTAAAAACAACTAAGTTCAAGAAATTCTGTTTCCTATAAGAACAATAGGATTTTTTAAAATATAAAATTCATATCTCATGTAACTACAATTCTTCAGATCAAATCCACTCTGAATATAAAGCAAAGTCAATATTAAGATCAGCCCCTTCTATTGATAATAAACCTCATGTTCTATTCCTTGATCCAGAACACAATGCACACTCAAAATAGTTGATTTTACTCATTCCTTCATCAAAGTTTGCTTGCATTGATTTGTTCAGTTAATGTGTTTGCCTCCTTGTCAATAATTTCTCTCTAAATATCATTATGTACAGAGTGATCTCTAACTTGTCTGCCTTTTTACCCATGGTTATCCAGAACAACTCCACTCCAGGCTTATAATGGGTTTACTGCAAGTTGCCTGTGGGCTTTTACTGTTGACTTCTTCAAACTGCATGCAAATGATGCAGTGAGCACATTTTAGCTTCAATTGGTTTCTCCTCCTCTCTGTTGTTTGATCAAGTAGGATTCAGAGCAAATATAGAAATTGAAACTGGTAAGCTCCTTTGTTTATACTAAAAATAAGCTCTTTTCATTTCCAATAGTCATCTTGGATGTAAGGAAGTTTCATTCTTCTATTCTTTGAAATTAATCAAGTGATTCTATGAAAAGAACTCTTAGCACTTCTAAAGTGCATCACTTATTTTCTGAACCATGGGCAAAATGATTTTAAACCACTGACTTCAAAGTTTAACTGGAAAAATGCCATCTTTCGAGTTTTGCAAGTATTAAACACTTTAGCATGGTCTCATAAAACAACCATTGTCCAATGACAGTTGTGCATATGCTCACACTGTTCTAGATTTAGGAATACACATATTAAAGTCTTCTAGACAGAGTTGTCGTTTCAAAGGAGGGCTTTAAGAAAGATTAATGCGGTTCTTCTCTAGACCACACAGAGTGACTCTCCATATCTTCTGAGTCCTAGACTGCTAGATCTATCTCCTCCACACATTGAGGATCATACCCTAGAGCTGAGCTAATATTGCTGTGTCTTCACAAAGCACTGCTGAGACCGGAGACTATTTCTTGGGAAGTAGGTGGGACAAGGAGAGAGGAGAATTCTGGGAAGCAGAAGGCTGAAGGGAGAGACACTGCAGCCACCGCCAGGACAAGCAACATGTGAAGACGCCGGTAAGCCACCAGCCATGTGGTAAGAGAAATGGAGTTAGACCTCACACAAGCCTTCCAGAAAGAACTCACCTGCTTCATCTGCCTGAGCTACCTGATAGATCCAGTCACCATAAGCTGTGGTCACAGCTTCTGTCGAGCCTGCCTCCACCTTTCCTGGGAAGACATCCAGCCTCCTGTCCAATGCCCTATGTGTGGGGAACAATATCGGAAAGAATTGAGAACCAACATTGTTCTGAAGAAGCTGGTGTCCATTGTCAGACAAGCCAGCCTCATGAAGGACCTGAGCTCTGAGGAACATAAGTGTGTAACTCACAGGGAAACAAAGAGGATCTTCTGTGCTGAGAACAGGATCTTCCTCTGTCAACTCTGTTCTAACTCCCTTGAGCACAGAGGACACAGACACGGTCCCATTGAAGCAACTGCTAAGGATCAAATGGAACGAATTCTGAAGCAAATGACATCTTTATGGGAGAAGATCCAAGAAAATCAAGAGAATATGGAAGCAGAGAACAGAATGAAAACTCTGTGGATGGACTACTTGACTCTTCGGGAAGAAATGATCAGGACAGAGTATAGGAAATTACAACCACTCCTCTGTGAAGAGGAAGAGAAACACATTGAGTCTATGAGAAATGAAGGCCAATGTGTTTTAGAGAAACTTGGGACAAGTGAAGCCATGATGATGCAAAAGAGTAAAGAACTAAGAGAAATGTATCAGGAGCTGATGGCAATGTCCCAGGAGCCATATGTGGTCCTGCTGCAGGGTTTGGATGACATATTCAGAAGGAGTGAGTCAATGCAGCTGAGCATGATCCATACTATGAAACCAAAACTCCAAGCCCTACCCATTACTGGACTGACTGAAAGTTATAAACACTTGCAAGTGCCCATTTTCTTTGATAATGTAACCATGCTGCATTACAAGATGAACCTATTTTATGCCATGAGAATATTGAGCTTCAGACCTCGCCATAAAGATACATCTGCGGATTATGCTGGCTTCCATTTTGCTTCCCGGGGATCACAGAGCTTCATCTCAGGGAAATATTACTGGGAGATTGATTTGCAGGACTCTTGGGACTGGGCTGTAGGGGTCTGTAAGGATTCCTGGTTGAGGAATAGAAACCAACCGATTGAATCTGAAGATGCATTTCTTCTTGTGTGTGTGAAGGAGAGTAATCATTACAGTCTTATCACCACATGCCCAGTGTTCCAGCACTATATAGAGAAGCCACTGGGCCGAGTTGGTGTGTTCCTTGATTGTGAGGATGGAAGTTTAAGTTTTGTGAATGTTGCCAAGAGTTCCCTCATATACAGGTACCCTCCTGGCACCTTCAATTTCCCTGTCTGGCCTTTCTTCTCCAGTGGTTTTATATGGGGAACCTGGAATCCAGTACTTTAGTGTTTTTTAAGTGTTTCCTAATGTGATGTTACCTTCTTTATTGCTATTAAATATTAAAATACTATTAAAGGAAAAAAAAAAAAAAGAAAGATTAATGCTGTAAATACTTTACATTATGGAAGCCAGAAATAGATCTAGAAGAGCATCCTCCATATCAGTACCTATGTTTGTTTAGGAAAACAGACTACTCACATGAAATTCAAAAATGCAATATAGTCCATAAGTGATGAAAATTAATGAATATAAGGTATACAATCTATATTGGTTAGTAATTTTGTCAACTTCTCACACTTGAATCACTTGAGTAGAAGGAATATAAATGGAGGAATTGCCTCCATCAGATTGGTCTGTGAGCATGTCTGTGGAATCTTTTCATAATTGATGGATGATGTGGGAGGGCTCCAACTGCTGTTGGTGATGCCATCCTTTGACAACATTCAGGTTGTATAAGAAAACAAGCTGAGTGAGCCAGGGTAGCAGGCCAGTAAGTACTATTACACTCTACTTGCTAATTCTACTCTTGCTTCTGCTCTTGTGTTGATTTCTATGAATGATGGAAGTGATAGGGATATGTAAGCCAACTAATTTCCACACCCAAGTTGTTTTGGGTCATATTTTTTCATAGAAACATGAAGTGATTAGAAAATAATAAGTTATGAAAATACTTTCAGAACTTTTAAAATATATTTTGGAAGGTTGAATGAGTATTTTTTGACCTATGCTTGCTGAAGACTAAGAATGTAGTAGGAAGCTTACCTATTAGTAAAAACTGACACATTTTTTCATTATAAATATTTTTATTTTATAATTAATTTAATTATACATATCAGCCAAGGATCCCCCCATACTCCCTCCTCCCATCCCCAGCCTGCCTTCCCAATCCGTGCCCCACTCCCACCTCCTCCAAGGCAAGGTCTCCCCTGGGGAGTTGGCCCAGGCTGGTAAATTCAGTTGAGGCAGATCCAGTCCCCTCTTCCTTGCACCAAGGCTGAGCAAAGTATCCCAGCATTGGTCCTAGGTTCCAAAAAGCCAGATCATGCACCAAGGACAGGTCCTGGTCCTACTGCCTGGGGGCCTCCTAAACAGTTCAAGTTCATCAACTGTCTCACTTATCTAGAGGGCCTGGTCCAGTTCCATGGGAGCTCCTCAGCCATTGGTTCATAGCTCATGTGTTTCCACTAGTTTGGCTATTTGTCTCTATGCTTTTTCCAATAATGGTCTCAATATCTCTTGCTCATATAACCCTTCCTCTCTCTTGCTGATTTCACTCCTGGAGCTCCACCTGGGGACTGGCCATGGATCTCTGCATCTGCTTCCACCAGTCACTGGATGAGAGTTCTATCATGACAGTTTGGATGTTCAGCCATCCAATCACCAGAGTAGGCTAGCTCAGACACTCTCTCTTGACCATTGCCATTAGTCCATAGTGGAGGTATCTTTGTGGATTTCTGGAGACCTCTCCAGCACTCTGCCTTCTCCCATTCCCCTGGGGTCTTCATTCATCACGGTATCCCTTTCCCTGTTCTCCCACTCTGTTCCTGATCTACCTGGGACTTCCCACTCCCCTAAGCTCCCTTTCCCCCAACCCTTGCCTCCCATTACCCCCCTTGCCCTCAGTTTGCTCATGTAGATCTCATCCATTTCTCTTCGCTGGGCAATCCCTGTCTTTCTTAGGGTCCTCTTTACTAGTTACCCCTCCCCCATGGAGTTGTGAGTTGCAATCTGGTTACCCTTTGCTTTACATGTAGTATTCACTTATGAGTGAGTACATACTATGTTTCTTTCTGAGTCTGGGTTACCACACACAGGATGATATTTTCTAGCTCCATCCATTTGCCTGGAAACCTCATGATGGCCTTGTTTTTCTCTGATGGGTAGTACTCCATTGTGCATATGTACCACATTTTCTTTATCCATTCTTCAGTTGAAGGACAGCTAGGTTGTTTCCAGGTTCTGGCTATTACAAATAATGCTTCTATGAACATAGTTGAGCATGTGTCCTTGTGTTATGATTGAGCATTCCTTGGGTATATGCCCATGAGTGGTACAGCTGGGTCTTGAGGGAGGTTGATTCCCAATTTTCTAAGAAAGCACCATATTGATTTCCCAAGTGGCTGTACGAGTTTATGTTCCCACCAACAGTGTAAGAGTGTTCCCCTTGCTCTACATTCCTCCAGCATAAGCTGTCTTCAGTGTTTTTGATCTTAGCCATTCTGACAGATGTAAGGTAGTATCTCAGAGTTGTTTTGATTTGCATTTCCCTGATGACTAAGGATGTTGAACAATTCCTTAAATGCCTTTCAGCCATTTGAGATTCTTCTGTTGAGAATTCTCTGTTTAGCTCTATAGCCCATTTTTTAATTGGACTGTTGGGTATTTTGATGTCTAATTTTATGGGTTCTTTATATATTCTGGATATCAGCCCTCTGTCAGATGTGGAGTTGGTGAAGATCTTTTCCCATTCTGTAGGCTGTTTTTTGTCTTATTGACCATGTCCTTTGCCCTACAAAAGCTTCTCCGTTTCAGGAGGTCCCATTTTTCTCAGTGTCTGTGCTACTGGTGTTATATTTAGGAAATGGTCTCCTGTGCCAATGCATTCAAGACTACTTCCTACTCTCTGTACTATCAGGCTCAGAGTAACTGGATTTATGTTGAGGTCTTTGATCCACTTGGACTTAAGTTTTGTTCAAGGTGACAGATATGGATCTATTTGCAGTCTTCTACACGTTGACATCCAGTTATGCCAGCACCATTTGTTGAAGATGCTTTCTTTTTTCCATTGTACAGTTTTGGCTTCTTTGTTGAAAATCATATGTTTATAGGTGTGCAGATTAATGTTAGGGTCCTCAGTTCGGTTCCATTGGTCCACATGGAGGTTTTTATGTCCCCATTGCTTTGGAAGTGTGAATGAAATCACAAGAAAAGTAGTCTGTACTTGCCCAAAGAAATTGTTCATGCTTCTACAAAAATGACACTATATTTCCACAGTAAGTTTGAAAATTCCCTGCTTTGTCCCACATGAAACAAACTGCTGTTTATAAGTTGAAATAGGTTGGATTTCTCATGAAGAGACAAATTTCATGGCTAAGCATCATATATATTAAGATTTAAAAAGGGATTTGAACCAGTTAATTTTGGATATATTCTATAAACTATCATATTTGTGAATATTAAAATCTCTTTAGGACTTAGCCAAAACTAAATAATTTTCTACAATCATAGCAGCTACTTCTATTAGCTATCACCACTGTATAAACAAGAAAATATAACCAGAAGAGCATTTCAGTATCATTTTCCCTTATCAAAACAGTTAATTCTGTCTCTTTACTACTGTAAATTATGTTACAGTGAATATAGGAAAGCAGCTTTCTCTTCTACTAAGATATTTAATTGCCTTGGGTTAAAGATCCAGTAGTGATAATGCCATCTTTAGGTTTGGAGGAAATGCCCTTGTGGTTTATTAATAATGGATATTCTCAAGCAGACATCAGCAAATGTGAAACTTAAAGCGATCCCTCTGTCCCCTCACTCCTCCTGCTTCCAGTTTTTTCTCTCCATCACCCTTCTTACTGTCTCCTTGATTTTGGGAACAGCCATTGTAACAGGTAGGTATAGGACACGTCATTATGATTTGAATTTTTATTTCTCTGTTGATTTATGATATAAACATATATATTCTTCAAACTTCTGTTGGCCATCCATGTGTCTATATCTGATCAATATCTATTCAACTTATTTACTCACTTTTAAGTAGGTTATTTGCTTGTTTTGGTACTGAGTTGTTTGTTAGATTCTGGATATTGACTACTCAATATACAGTTGTCTACTCAATACACTGATTCCTCTGTATCTCGCTGACTGGTCCTGGGCAGGCTGTCTCCCCCTTTATTTTGGCCAGCCAGCTCAGCCTCCTCTGCCAATTCATTGCTCATTCAGCTTTTTATTAGACCATTCAGGTGCCTTAGGCAGGCACAACAATATATCTTTATATAGTTAAGCAAGTAATCTTCAATACAAACAAGTCAGTACATCTTTACATAGTTAATCAAATATTCTATTCCATAACATTTCTCCCCTTTTTTTGTATAAATAAAAAGGAAAGATACTAACTTTAATGTAGTAAAACTATATACAATAAGAAAAATTATCAAATAAGAATTATTTATAGTATCCAGTTTAATTGAATTTGGAAAACTCAGAGGAAATACTCCATCATTTATTGTATCTTGGTGAGACCGAATTTTATAACTAATTTACCTTATATCATAACTAAGGAAGCTATAAATATTACTATATAGTCTTCAGTTCCATCAAAGATCCACGGAGGATACAGTACCTGAGTAAACAGAAAGTACAGAGCAAGCAACGTCCAAAACTAAAGAAATGACCAAGGCATCTGGCTGCCTGGACAGTCATCCAAGGTTGTTCTACAATGTTGAGGCATCCATCTTTGGCCTACAGGCCTGGAGTGTCTGACAGACTTTTCTATGAAGCAGGAAATTTGAAGGACTGTCCTGCCTTATCTTGGCAAAATTTGGCAGTCCTATTCCTTTGTGTCCTTCATGTCCACTTTGTATGGTATACTGTTCTCAGTCAAGGCCAGGACAGTTTCTGACCCAAATGGCTATGTTTTCCACAATGTAAGCAAAGTCTATATGGAGGTTCTTCTATGACCATCATCCTTTTATGAAGTAAATTGCTTCTGCCAGGAGCAGTCATGTCTCACTGTCATGAAAAGCTTTTCTTAGGGTCTCAGGGGCCCCTGACAAAACTGGGATAATGATCAAGTCCTAAGTAAACTAGATATAACATGTGTTGTTCAGTCTCTGTGTAATGGGAAAGTCCTGGCTAAAATAGTCTGTGAGGCTGAACCATTTTATCCAGCAGCCTTGAAACTGTTCTAGATGTAGATCTATGAGTAATCAGCAACAGAGGCATTCTGAGAGGCTGGTTCACTTGGGCTACCCATTTTCATTGGTGTCTGTTCTCCTCACACTGAA